CCCCAAAACCCCAAAACCCCAAAACCCCAAAACCCCTAGAAATAAAATATTAATTGAAAGATTTAAAGCAAATGAAGGTAACATTCTCGGATTTATGGGGAACAAATTAAGTAGAAGATTAGCTGGGAAGAAGAGCAACCGAGAAGAAAAAGCAACAAAGAAGTTGCCTGTGGGTGTTTTGCTTATTTTTAAAGTATTAGTAATGAAAAATAAGTTTTTAAGATATGATGTTGGAAGGGAGAATGTTCAAGTGGAAAAATTCTTATTACTAGAACTTAATGGTATATTAGCTTTAAATTTCTATTACTTTACTATAAACATTTAATTCATAATTTCCTCTCTAATAATTGATATAGATATCAAATCCTATCATCCTCTGATTTTTCCTCCTCATACTTCCTTACCATACCCAAAGCATCCAATACACCTACAATTTCTTTGGCCAAGAGTACCCCACCTTAACCCTCTAGTTCCTCAACCACCACATTCCTCGACTCCAGCTCCTCCCCTTCAGCTCCTACACTCTCCAAACAACCTTGTATCTCCCTCTATAACCCTCTAGCCAATTATCCAACCACCGTGCCCCAAGGCCTCCACTTCACAAACGTAGCGTAATCTCTCTGCCACACATCCTCTAACCCTTCTAGAGCTCTGAACATTGAAAACGGACCTTTTGGCCCAACCTCGAATGAGTTTTCCTTTGAAGTCTGGATCTATTTGTTCGATATTGTAGACACGCCTATAATGGAAGCAACTGTGCTAGTAAGTTCCCCATCTCCTCCAACCCCCTTACTTCTTTAACCCGCTGAGTCCCTTCTGGCGTAGAGCGTACATAAACCTTTGATTTAGGACGGAAGCAGTGCGCAGAAAGGAGCTAATATTGAACTGAGAGATATAGGTGAGTAAACAGGAAGGAAATGGAGGGGTAGTGGAGTTGTGGGTTAGGGTGGTTTAGGGGTGAGTAGGGGTGACATAGATTTGGGGAGGGAGTAATGGGGTTTTGGAGGGTTAGAATTACGTTTGGGATGGAAGGATGGGAGATTGAGAGGTTAGGAGGTGAGGGTTGAGGGGAAGATGAATGTTGAGGGTTTTAAGGTTGTGATATATATAATTGAAGTGTTTGTTGGTTTTACCCTGGCTTATTTTTGAAGATATTTTGTATAAATTTTATATTAAATTAACCTTTGTTCTCAGAAACGATTTTATTCGAATGCTAAAACATTAGTTTTTATTAAAATATGGAAATTTTACTTAATCCCTTGTAGTTTCTTTCATGGCTTTAAGTGCACTCTAGAATATTTATCTAAACGAATACCAAAACATACATGAGCCATTAAAGTAAAAGATTTAACTCTTTAATGAAGGGTCTTTTTGTGTACAAAAATCTAAGTATTAAAGCCTCTGTGGCTATATATTCAAAAATCTTACTGTCTTTTCAGATAAAAATTAGACCATTCGGATTCTCAGTATCGCCTTTGAGAATTTTATTTTGTGCAGCATTCTAATTTTGCTGCAAGAATTCATGTCCAGGAACTAACAAGCCAATATAGGAGGATCTGTAATCGCTGGTTCTTTCACTTACTACAATCAGAGAATAAAGGATGCCACTGTTAATAGTAAGTGTCTTTAAATTTTGAGGCCGAGTTAGAAATAAAAGATCAAGCTCTGACTTTAAAAGCTTTAATCAGGCTAATTTTCACCAATAGTGTTAAAACTTGAATGTTGTTTCAACTAAATTACGCTGAGGTCATATTTAAATTAGCATCGTTTACATTAAGGATTCTTATGTAACATTTAAAAGACAACTACAAGAGCCTTAGACAATAAACTTGATGCCCCATGCTAATTTATGAAGTGAAATAAAGTCTCACTACTTACTCTTATTCTTAGGGAAAGTTAAACTTTTATTACAAAATAGCCTAATTTCCTTCTGAAATATCTGTTAAAAGGGGTAACGAACAAGATGACTTTATTTATTGAGTATTGGATTCTGCTATCTTAGGGCAGAAATTTTTAAAAAGCTTCAGTTTATCAGACACTCCGAAAAATATTAATTTGCCTACAAATAATGCAAAACACTCAAAATATATGTAATATAGAGGGATGGAATCATATCGGATGAAGATTCGATCAAACTGAGAGTTACATGATAGTGTTCAAGAGCGAAGGACCGAATTCAGTAGCTTCTACTTCTGAATCTGGATCGGCAGTAGCAGGAGCTGAAATTGGATGATACAGATCTTGAACTTCAGAATACATACTTTATAGCATTTCTTTTAGAGATGATCCCGAACTAGCATCTCTGGATAGTCAATATCTTTCTGTTAATTGTAAGTGGAGCATTAGGTGAAGTATAGCTCTGTCTACATGTGGAGATGGAAACATCCAAAGTTCTCATATGGAAGAATGCGACTATGGAGATAGAGTTGATGGGGATGGATGTAGTGAAAGCTGCTTGAATGAAGGGAGCACTTCATGAGTTTCTAATGCTATGATATCTTGAACATCATTAGATCCTGCTGTAGCTTGAGGAAATGGAAGGCAAGATAACGATGAAGATTGAGATGATGAAAATAGTATCTCTGGAGATGGTTGTACCTCTTGAGTAGTTGATTCTGGATGGATTTGTACAAGCCCTCAGTCATCTCCAAGTGTCTGAATTGAACAAATAACTCAAAATTGTGGAGTTGAATTTTGCAGCCAGTGACAACAAAATATTTCAGATAAATGTTCTGAATGTCAATCTGGATACAAACTTAATAGAAGCAGCCAATGTGTAACTGAAGACACAATTGTAATTTCATCTTATGCTGAATCAACTGCAAACTCTTCAAAATATGTATCAAGCTCAGCAGGAGTGATAGCTCTGTTGGTTTCAATGTTACAAGGAAGTGCTCCAATGGTTTTGTGGTCAATTATTAACCAAGTACAAATCACCCAGTTATTAGTATTAAAGGAATTATATATTCCTGACGATGCGAAAGCAATGTTATCTGGGGAAGGTGGGATCCCAATAAATCCATCAATGAGGCTTGTAGATGATTTTCCTTACGTAACTAAGTTTAAAAACTGGATAGATATAAACCAAAGTAATCAATCTATAGATAATTTATATAGCCAATTCTGATCTCAAAATAATCGGAGTTGAGTCTGGAAGCAGTTTAAAGAATTGCTTGAACCTCATAGTTGTTCTAGTACTTTTAGCCTGATTTACCGGTATCTTATGGATTCTACCAAGTTGCAAGCCCAAACAGGAGAATCAAAAATGCAGAAGTTTGTATTGGAAAGGAAGAAAGAAGCTGTTGAATTTGTTAGTATTTACAGTTTACATCAGAATAATTTATGAATGATTCCAGTTTGCACTCCTCTCAAGTTTTTCCGGTATCCAAACTTATCACTCAAACTATCAGCCTAAATATTTGGTTTCTCTTGTTTCTTCAGTGATCTTCCTTATATTGTGTGTTGGATTCTTGTGTTGAGCTTTATACTCTTTTTGAGTCTCAGTCTCATCTGAATCTGGAGACTCTTACAAATCAAGAGAGTTTGCCAACGGTCTTAAACACAATAAAGCAGCCAAGCTGTACTCTGTTCTTGGTCTTTCAAGAAGGCTGATGTTTTGATGCTGGCTTATGATCTGAAATTCTTTGCCATCAATTGTAAATGCATTAGGAGTTTTGGTGATACAAACTCCATATCTAGGTTACATTTTGTTTGTGCGTCCATTAGATAAAGTACCAAACAAAATCATTGAATGAATAAACGAACTTATATTTTTTGGAATTTCACTATTCTTGTGATGCTATAGTTCAGAAACCTCATGGAGCAAAGTAGTTTCAAATATATTTATTAACGTGATCCTGGCGAACAACATAATAATCACATTAATAATCTCAAGTAAGCCTTCTTCTAACCTATAGCCACTTTCACCTTAACCCTTCTATCCCTAATAAAAGGCTGATTTCGCTCAAAATCCCGCACAAGACCTAAACCCTCTCAAAGAGTACGCTTTTAAACCTTCTTAAATCCCTGACCTTCTAATAGAAGCCCCAAATGTTGAATCTCCAGAGGGCTGAACCCCAACCCACTCAGAAAAGAGGCAAGATCTCTGCTGTGTCGGCTGCCCCGATGAATAGGAAATTGGAGATTATCAAGAAGAGAATTCAAGAACAGCCTGTATTTTTATGGAGAAAGCGTTCTTCAGATGAGGAATAAGTAGTGGTTGCTGAATAAAGTTGGATTAAAAAAGATGTCTATTGGGGAGGAGGGAGGATATGATAGGTTTTGAGAGTTTAGAAAGGGAAATAGAGCTATATGGCTTTTGGAATTTCTAGTTTTGGACGAGTTTAAGTGGATTTATGATGTATTCTTGTTTGTGAACAGTATGGAATTTTGTATTTTTATAAAGTTGTTACAAAATTAATTATGACATTTTCTAATTCAATGAAAAGTGTGATGGCCGGGGTTTTGGGGTTTTGGGGTTTTGGGGTTTTGGGG